GTGGCTCTTTGGATCCCAGCCTGCAGATTATGCAATGAACTAAAAGGTCCAATAGTTTTCCATGTAAAATTCTAGAAAAGGTCTGTGAAATCTGTTATTTTGTTATCTACTGGGGAAAGATGCAACAAATTAATACTTCTACTAATATGGCTTAGTTCTTTAAAATTAAATATGATCTTGACACCTTTGATGGTCTCTTAAGTTACCTAATAAAACACCTTGTTTTAAAAATATTTGTGTCCTAATATGCAATTGAGCTGAAGAAGATTCAGCATGGATCTAAGGGCCCAAACAGAGAGAAACCGATTACACAGTTTTGTTACTTTTAAGTCACTAATTTTAATAATAATAATAATGGGCTGATTTTCTCTCTAGTTTATTATGAAGCACTACCAATTGAGTTAAATGGCATACTTTAAAAATTATTACTTGTGATTTTAGATCATATACTTCACAAAGTCGAAATAATGTAATGTTACCTGAAACGTAGGTTAAAATGTGTTCAGTCACACTCATATGGGAAAAATAGATAAAGCTTCTGGAAATTGTAAGCTTCCCTATAAAAATCAAGCATTCCAATGAAAAAGGCCATGGGTGTCTTTATTCATATGCAGATATGTTATCATAGTATACCCAAGCTACTCAATATATAATATCCAAAGGTTCTAGAGAGCACATTGCCCACACATGGAAGAATCCCTTAGACTTAAGGGAACTCTGTTGCTGTGCTTCCTCCCTCATGTCACATCTTCAGAAATTGGAAAGGGGTTGCTCACATAATCAAACAACCCATGGGCTGAGTACACATGGGCAGGCAAGCATGGGGCTCCCACCTGCTCACTCACTTCTGCCTTCTGAAATAACCTAGGGTTTTCTGAAACAATACAGAGCTTGAACTCATGGCTTGTTGCACATTAATAACCTAGAGTGCTAGGTCTGCAAGTCATAACAACAACCCAAGAATGGGGCATTCCTAGTTTGTTTCAGGTAGTGGATATAAAAGGGAAGTGATGAAAAGTGTGGGAGGCAACATGCATGTGTGCTCTGAATCAGCCACTGCTAATTATGGGTTGTTTAACACAGATTTAGCCATTACATGCAAGCTGGGTCAGAGTGTCTGTTCTTTATCATTAGGGAACCCACCACCCTCTAACTTGGTGAAGATACATTAGCTCCACAGCTTGCATAACTTAACAGAGGGGAGGGGCGAGGCTGCATAGGCCTATGGGAGATGCACAGAAATTTCCATTTCTCCCAGATTGCCCTGGAGTATTCCTGCACATTTGCTAGTAGAGGGAAGGGGAGCAACACAAATCTAATGAACCCTATGAGTTTATCTCCAGAGGGAAGAATCATTCCCAACATGAATACTTTGAAGTTCACTTGAAAATTGTAGTCTAAAGATAACTGGTCCTCTGAGATTCTATGAAAAGTTATATATCTAACTGAATTGCCCAGATTCAAACAGTACATATACAAGAATTTCTAGTACTGAAAGTTCAAAACAGTTTTACTGTTTTGTATCTGTAATTCTATCAAGACCCTGAACTGCAAATTTGGTTATTAGCAAAGTGATGATGTATCGGCCCACCAAAATGAAAACCTGATGTTCATTTTGATAAACTGAAAAAGTTTGGAAATGTCACAGCAGCAAATACATTACTGTTATAGTGAGGTCTTTCAGTAGGAGTGTTACACAATCCTTAAATAAATGTAAGTAGTCATAACACCAACTAACTAACCAGCACACTTAAACCAAAATAACCATTCTCAAGCTCATTCTGTGCACATTATGAACATGCTCTAATCTGCATTCCAACTTTCGTCTTTAACCCTTACAAGTTAGCTTATTTTCCACACTAAAGGAAAACAGTTAAATTTTATGCCTTTAGTATTCCATCTTATTTAATAGTTAATCATTCTATACCTACACTAAATTTGTCAGTTTTCACAAGTATATATTTTGTAAACACCAATTTCTTGCTAAACCAACAATAAAATTATAAGAACCCAGTTTTATATTCTAACACACACTTTTTAAAAGGAAATGTTTTAATCTATATCAGATGTCAAGCTTTGATGAGCTTTCTCTTCCATATAAAATTCTGCATTCAACTAATACTTCATGTTAGTTTCCAAGTTAAGAAACAGGAGCTGTCCTCTTTAAATTTCCCTTGATTTATATATTTTCAGTTTCTTTCAAACTTCTGAAAATATTCAGAGAGGCTAACTGTCTTCAAAGCATTAATCATGTACTTCCTTAATAAGATGGATTATTGAATGGCTAGGGTCACTTTTCATCAGTAAAAATAATGTTTCACATGACAAATACATGTTATTCCAAACATTTTATGCTAATGACTACTAAAGAAAACCTGGATCTTTTTCACTTATTTGTACAAGGATTATATTAAATACAAACTATCACAATTGTGATCAATCCTATCATTTTGTCCACAGTGAAAACCCTGAATAAAATTATTTTCAAAAAGGCATGTATGTGGTTTCTGAACTGTAAAATTTCATGTCTTCTGTCTAAGTGAACATCTATTTCTCATGTGTGTATGTTTACACACAGGCGTGCACATGCACGCACACACATGCACGCACACACCCAGCCCTACCCACCCGCCCACCCACACACACGCACACACACACACACATACGTTTCTAACAAATTAAACTACATAGGCTTGCTGCTATTTTTGCAGGTGCCAGTCCCTGAATCAGTTATATTAAACAACCCAGTGTCTGGTAATCGGAGTTTCTTCTTCGGCGGAGTCTTCAGTGTCCCAGATCTTTCTTTAACTTTGTATTCTAAAGTGCTGTGAGGTACCCCATATATTCCTTGTGCTTTGGAAACACTCATTTTTCCACTCATTACCATTGCAATAGCTTCCTCCATAATTTCATGATCATACTGTCGGTAGCGACCACGTTTTTTCCTTGGTTGCTTATTATCCTTGCGATCCAAGCCATCTTCTGTGGATTCAGAGGTGCCATCAACAATTCCGTTCTTAGTATTAAGACACAGAGGAGAGAGGTCCCCATGCAGAAAATATGTGTCAACACTTGACTGAGTTACAGATGCAGAACATTCAATTTTGTTCTGTTTAGGGAGTATATTTTTCAATTTTTGAAGAGCTGATCCTTCTAAAACTGATGAGGTTTTGGAAACATGGTACATAACATCCAGAAGTCCTGCACTCTCAGGCTGTTGTTTGGGAACAGCACTGATTCTTAGCTGAGGAATTTTTAACTGTACAGTTGGAGCTGATGTTTCATATGGTACATTTTCATTTTTTTCTTTAAACTGAGTGACCATTCTTTGTAGAGTTAACTGGTGGAGGTAACTGGAAGCTGTTGGGAATCTTAATTCTGAGGTTTCAAGTAGACTGAGTTTACTTTTTTCTGTGCGCTCTGCTTGAGCTTTTGCCCACAAGGCTACTTTTTGCAGCACTGCACAAGTTTCTTTACTGTCTTTATAAGAACAACTGTCATTTAAATCTTGAGTTTTGTTTTTAAAGGGTGCAGGCTTTCCTGCTGGTAAGGCTTCTAAGTGGAGAAGTAAAGTTTTTTGAGGTATGCCATAAAGTATGCCTGCTTTATTAATGTCCAGTGCTCCGGACTGAATGTCTTTCAACGCTTTTGAGAGCAAACCATCTGCAAACTCAGCACTTCTTTCCACAAAGTCCTCTCTGTGTCTGTGGAGTCTCCTGGATGGATGGAATGAAACGATGGTGAACTGATGCATGAGAGACTCTCACACAGCTATGGAAGGGAAGGGTCCACTCCTTTATTATACTCCTTGCTTAGGTAACATCACTGCTTCTGATACTTTTAAGTCTTTGAGTTGTGGTAGCTATTGATTACCATAGCAAAAGTTACAGTTCTGGTAGGACCATGTGTCAAAATGATACCCCAGCTTCTACAGCAGCCCTTCCAAGAACTTTAAATCCTAGCTCAGTATTTGATAACGTTCTCATCTGCTTGCAATACCCTTTTGACAGATGCTTGCAGAGTAACAGTTAAAACTTTGCTTTACACAATTTAACAACCATTGAATGCCCCCATCCTAAAGGAGTTTTGTTAGTAGAAACGTGACGTTACCGCTAAACAAGTAATAAAAGAGTCAACCCCCACACAGAAAGTTTGTTGCAACTCTAGCAGAAAATATCTTTGACATCCAACCAGTTTTTTGATTTTGCAATTAAAGTCCTACTTATATTCTAATTTCTAGCAAACATAATCAGGTTTTTTTTTTCAGATAGGGAGAGAAATGTAATCAGAAGTAGATTTTAAGTCAAGGAATAATGATGCTGGGCTGTTAGTTGCTATAAAAACATACATTTGCAAAAATCACAAGTGACAAAAAGGGTCTGCTTTTGATTGAAGGATGCCAAAATTGTAACATGTTACTTCATTTTATTTCAGTAAATAGTACATTTCAGCATATTAAACATCTATTAATGAATGGGTGTCTTAGCAGCATGACACCGACATACCAGAGAAAGAATCAAAATGCAAGAATGGCCATCAAGAGCTCTCTCTTTATTTAGAAAACAGTAAGGATAATAGCTGTTTTTAATGTCTTACTAGCTAAAATAATATATTAAAATGTAAATTTCTTCCTTGGCTCCAATTTGAAAATCTCTAAGTCACAGAGAATACATTTTTCCTACTGTTTAGTTTGTGGTTGTGCTATGTATATAAGCATTCAGTTCACTTTTAGCAACATGAACTAAAGTTTGGTGATTGTTCTGATAACTTTTCTTTAACAGAAAAAGTGAAAAACAAAAAATGAAACATATGAGTTTTACACACACACACACACACACACACAATTATGAGTGAAACTCTTCTGCAAAAGCAAGAGCTAACTGCATATGCCAACATTTGTTATACACACACCAATTAAAGAAGAATTCAGCCTTCAAGTACACACCTTATTTTCACTTAGTATATTTAAAATAAACCAGAATAATGCTTATGTTGCTTACCCAGACACTGAATTTTCAGAACATGATCCATCATAGACTGACTGTTCCAAGCTTGTCTTCTTTGTAGACAGATCTAGCACTCCATCCCCTAATGGCATAACAAGGGGGAATAATTATTTTGGAAATAATATTCTTTGTAAACTTAAGAATCATATACTGTTCCTTATGCAGGAAACATTCTAACTATATAAAATATTTTAAAAAAATAATTACCAGGCCACTGGACAAGACTGGGTAAAATACATTCATTCACAGGACGTGTGGGTACAAGACAGAAATACACCCCAACCAGTTACTTCAGGAGCAGATATGATCAAGAAAAGTAAACAAACATAAATAAATATATTAGATACACAGTGAGATGACTGAGAACCACTTGTCAGTCATCATATTACCTTATTCAATAATTACATGGCAGAAATATATTAGTGTGAAATCATTTGCATGTTAGATATCAAAATTTAAAAATGTATTTCACGTTTCAGATTTCACTTTTTAATACACCAATTAAATAGAGTATGTAAACTTTGTTTCTATTATTTTGTAATGATGCATTTCTATATTGTTCAGTTCACATAAAAACCTACATGTTTGCAGATAAGCACTTGAATAGATATCTATATTGCACCATTCATGATAGGTCAACTCTGAGACTGAATAAGAAGCACACTGCAAAATTGATCCAAATTATGTAGAGAAGTGCCACCTCTCAAATGATACAGAGGAACTCTTTATAAAATCACACCAAAAGGAGCACTTACGATAAATACAATACAAAATTTAATTGTTATTGCTCCAATTGACATTTCCCAGCATAAGGCATACAGATAGTCAGCATTTAAGTAGCTTTATGTTTTAATTATAAAGGGAATCTGAATAGAAACTAAACAGAGTATCTCTCAAATGAAAGGCAGGACTAGATGAATCACCAGTGGGAATTAAGATTGCTGGAAGAAATATCAACAACCTCAGATATGCAGATGATACCACTCTCATGGCAGAAAGTGAAGAGGAACTAAAGAGCCTCTTGCTGTGAGTGAAGGAAGAGAGTGCAAAAGTTGGCTTGAAACTGAACATTAAGAAAACTAAGATCATGGCATCCGGTCCTCTCACTTCCTGGGAAATAGATGGGGAAGAAATGGAGGTAGTGACAGATTTTATTTTCCTGGGCTCCAAGATCACTGCAGACGGGGACTGCAGCCAAGAAATTAAAAGACACTTGCTCCTGGGGAGGAAAACTATGGCTTATTGTGAGCCGTCCCGAGGCTGTGTAGCAATGGGAATGGCATATAAAAACTTTAAATAAATGAATGAATGAATGAATATGGCAAATCTAGACAGCATAGTAAAAAGCAGAGACATCACCCTGCCAACAAAAGTGTGTATAGTCAAGGCTATGGCTTTCCCAGTTGCAATGTATGGCTGTGAAAGCTGGACCACAACAAAAGCTGAGCGCCGAAGGACTGAGGCCTTTGAATTGTGGTGCTGGAGAGGGAGACTCCTGCGAGTCCCTTGGACTGCAAGGCGATCAAACTGGTCAGTCCTAGAGGAGATCAACCCTGACTGCTCTTTAGAAGGCCAGATCCTGAAGATGAAACTCAAATACTTTGGCCACCTAATGAGAAGGAAGGACTTCCTGGAGAAAAGCCTAATGTTGGGAACAATAGATGGCAAAAGAAGAAGGGGACAGCAGAGAATGAGGTGTCTAGATGGAGTCACTGAAGCAGCTGGTGTGAGCTTAAGTGGACTCTGGGGGATGGTGGAGGACAGGAAGGCCTGGAGGAATGTTGTCCATGGGGTCACAATGGGTCGGACATGACTCCGCGACTAACAACAACAAGGACCGAGTAGAAAACATCTAATAAAGTCCCAGTTCCAATTATAAGGATATATCTTGTGATATTTGTTACAGAGCAAATTTATCAACAGATAAGATGGAAGAAAATTATATTCCATTTTATTTGGCCATATTTAACAATTCTTAGTCATTTACCATCAATTTCTGTAGTACAACAAAAGTGTGGATTTTCTGTGCAGAAAATTCTACCTCATTTTCACCTTGAAGAAAACTTAGAGTTCTTCTGAGATATTTCTATATTTCATTCTCCTTTCTGGTGGCTGGGGTCAGACAGAAAATTCTTTGTTCAGAGGCAGACTTTGTCATAAATGATGACCTACTCTTCTCCTTCCAGTATTGCTAGTTTCCTTATCCATACATTCCTACTCTTTATCCACAATTAACTACAATGAGAGCTTCCTACATGAATTTCCATATACAGAGTATTTATTTTTATTAGCATTTTATCCAGCTTTTCAAACAATTTCTGGAAAAGCCTATATGAAAAATTCAAAATGCAAACAAATAAATTATTTACTAAAAACAGCAAAATCTATTAAAAATACCATTAATTATCATCCAGAACATTGAAAGGTCAGAAAGAGCACTATGAACTGAGCTCAGAAATGGACTGGGAGCCACTAAAACTGATGGCACTGTGAACTGTAAAAGCTGGCATTATCTTTAAAGGTAATAGGATTGGGGGAAAAAACCTTCCATTGACATTATATAACTGCTGAAATATACATAAATGCATAAGCATCCATATTTTCAGTAAGTATATCCTGTCTATTATGAAAATGACTGAACACTGTAAATATTTATTTACTATAGATTGAAGACCATGGTTTCATAGTTGTGAGTTGTACTTCAATGTATTTTCTTTGATTCCAGGTGATATAAAATAAAGGACTTCTTGAGTAGAGCAATGAAGATGGAGGGGACATACTGTTAGCTACAAGCATATAGTAAAACCAAGAACAGGCCCCTGCAAGCCTCAAAGTAATAAAAGAGGTGCCTGCTGTGATAGTACAAAAGAACAAAGTCAAGAAATGAATAAAAATGCTGATAAGCATAAAATCTGTGTACTACATTAGCAATTATTATTAGACAAAGTCAATATTAAAGACAATACTTGAAAGAAACAAGTTCAAATATATCAATTCACAGGAAGGATAGAAGCTAAGATTCTAGCTTAATGCATCATTTTGATGACATGTATGTTAAATAGTGTACATCCGAAATCTGTCTTTCCAAAGGTTACCCAGTTCTCAAAGACCAAGCATATACCTGAACAAATCATTTGTGAAATGGAGACAGGACATAGCTCAGCTGAACAGCATATGCTTCACACGCAGAAGATCTGAGGTTTAAACTCCTCTAATTCCATGTAAAACCCGGGATAGCCATTACCAGTGTTGTCAATACTGACTAGATGGACTAAGGGTCTAACTCAGAATAAGGCAGCTTCCTACATTCCTAAAATGCACATAATATGTTTCCTACTGATTTGAACTTACACTGGATTATATATAATTTTGATAACTTGCCCACAGTCTTGGTCCTAATACAGATACTGTCTGTGAATTGTCAAACGGTAATGTGCAACTGCTTTGGAAACATAGCCTCGAGAGTCAAGTACAACATCCTGTGATAAAGCACCACTGTGTCTACAAAAAGCAGCAGCCAAAAATGTTAGTAGACAGATTTTTTTAACCACAGGGGTTTTCAAATTGTGGTAGACAAGGTATTCTCAAATAGCCCTATTGCAAATATAGTTATATCAGCATCATGTAATGTTGGACTGGGATGCAGGCGATCTAGCTTCTAGTCTCCATTCAGCCATGAAGTTCCCTGGATTATCTTGAACCATTCACTGATTATCTGTAAAATCTACCTCACAAGGTTGTTATAACGATATAATGGAAAAGACCACTAGGAAAAACTTCCCTAAGAAGGCTACAGATGAGGCAACAATTTCAGTGCTAAGAATAAATAAACTTATTACAAAAAGGGCTGCTACTGAAATCAGTAAAAGTTCAGTTTGACTTGAAAACTCATCAGTATAGAAACTGATGATCATGCTACCTAATATGTTGATTTGCACCAAGGAATTATGCAGTTTCATCTCCGAGTGCTTTTAAAGAAAAGCTAAAGCAAAAGATGGAAACTTACAAAGCCAGTGTGGTGTACTGGTTAAGAATGCGGGACTGGGATTCAGCTAGCCATGGAACTTACTGGGTGACTTTGGGCCAGCCACAGACTCCCAGTCCAAACTAATTCACAGGGTTGTTATTGTGAGGATAAGACTGAGACATGGAAGAGAATTATGTAGGCCAGCCACCTTTAGTTCCTTGAAAAAGTGCAGGATATAAATAAATATGTAATATATATAAATTATATAAATAAGTGATCGTCTTATGATTTGAAGAAGTTCAAAATCAGTTCCCTATATCAAATCTTTTACACAAGCCAAATAAATGTACACACTTTAGGTAAAGAATGGGACAATGATACCTGCTTTAATAATCACTGGTGGAATGACAGCATAAGAAGTTGATAAGTATATGATGAGAACAAATTATGATGTTACCTGCCAATATCTCTCTACTGCATAGCGAGTATCTACATTCACAAAAGTTACAGGTTCACTCTTGGTGCTTTCAGTACTTTCACACTCAAGAGAGCTCTTGTACCATATTAGTCTTATGTTCAGGAGATTTCCAAATATCAAACAAACACAAATGATTTTTGTCACAGTTCCAATTTCATTCACAATCAACAGTATTGACAAGAACTTAGACTAACGGTGAATTTTCCTCTCTGCAGGGGTAGGGGACCCATTAAGATGGTCTGTCCTAGAGGCTGATGGATCTGGATGGTTTCTAGAGCGCTCTGGAGAATTTTCCAGCTGATATGGCTGGTGGTCCTAATTAATTCCTGGTTAATCTCTGGGATACAGACAGTAGGGAGCTGCCAGCTGGGCCTGGGAAGTGATTAATGCTTCACTACAAGAAGGCCACCTAAAATGAGAGGTGGTGAGACCACTCCTGAAGAAACCCCCAGGAGTGGACCCAGAAGAACTCAACATTTTTAGGCCAATTGCAAACCTCTCCTTCCTGGGCAAGGTTCTTGGGAGGGTGGTAGCACACCAGGTCCAGGGACTCTTGGATAAAACTGATTATCTGGATCCATTTCAGTTGGGGTTCAGGCCTGGTTTTGGCATGGAAACAGTTTTGCTCACCCTGTATGATAATCTTTGCAGCAAGAGAGACGGGGAATGTGACCCTGTTGGTTCTCCTGTACCTCTCAAGCAGCTTTCAGTACCATCAACCATGGTATCCTGGGGGAACTGTCTGAGATTGGAGTAAGGGGCACTGCACTGCAGTGGTTCCACTCCTACATGGATGGTAGGCTCCATAAGATGGTACTTGGGGGATTTAGTCCTGCTCTTTGGATTCTCCAATATGGGGTCCCACAGGGATCAATCAGTTTCAAATGTGATGGGACATCCTGGTAAGCAAGCTGAGTGCAGCTGGACTTAACATCATTAGTCCAATGATACAATGCATGGTTAAGAGGAGGGACCAAATGAGAAACATCAGGTGCCCCAGGTAACCACTCCATAAACAGTATGTCCCATGTTGAAGGTGGAGTCAGCTCTTTCTCCTTTGGAAAGGAGGTATTCCGCTTGGAAGCAATTCATACAGTTAAACTGTGTCTGCCTAATTGCCATTATTTTAACTTTGCTTTTGTCTTTTATTGCTGACTTCTATAATACTGCAACCTAGCTGATTATAGTTTTCATCCTACTCAGCTTGGGAAAAGGGAGAGAAGAGCAACTAGAAAACAAACTGGTCATTTAAGGTAGAAGACACAGAACATGATATGATGGCTGTAAGATTTCTTGCTAAAGCTGCTTTACTATGTTCTTGCTTTCAGTCATGGGTGGGGCGGGGGTTTCTAGGAATTTCAGAAAAAATAGAAATTGGAAGAAAAATAGCTTTATATGCAATCATTTGAGAACTCATAGATCTATAGCTAATTTGATATTTTAGGAGCACAGCATTTATTGTATAGCTTGGTTTCATGAACATTAAAAAACATTTTAAGGTAAACTCAGTAAATTTATAATTGAATAAATCAAGCTTTCAAATATAATATGATGAACATGACAATTTTCTGAGCAAACAATGCTGAATGTAATTTAGAAAGTAGTCTCTGGAACTTCTGAATCATTTCAGAAGCCAGAATAAACAGGAAGAGATGGCAGCAAAGCAAGACCAGTATATAGCATCTGTTCTTGTTTATGACAAACCAGTTAAGGAAGTATTTAGGGAAATCTGGTCTAAAGCTTATTTTACAACATTAATTTAACTTGAGAAGAATTTCTTACCTTTTAGGAATGGCAACCAAACATATTTAAGCACCTTTAAGCAATCTCAACCTTTTATCTGAAGAGTGGCATTTTAAACAGTATCTTACAGGACAACTCTATCTCCACTGTTCACAGGGATTGAGAACTTGCACAACAGGGCTTTGGAGCATCTAATAATCACCCTGAACACAAGTAGAACTGGGACTGGTCAGTAGTTATTTTCAGAAGTGCCAAAGCCATGTAAGTGCTGGGTACCACAATCAAAGGGTCACTTTAATTCCCTTAATAAACTTATTATTTGTTCATTTTCAAGGACTATCATTAGTAGTAGTCTTAATCCCACCACTATGCCATAGCAACCAAGCTACACAGTTTCATTTAGATTTGTTCTTGTTCTGTTGCATGTGGTGGCAAGTAATGGGATAACTTACACAGAGGGCTTGCATCTTACACCAACCCATCTTGGCAATAAGCTGCAGTGGGTTGGTTGATCTATGAACAACCCACAGTTCACACAATAGATGGTCAGACTCACAGTGGATGGATTGATTGATTGATTGATTGATTGATTAAAAGCTTTTGCATGCCATCCTATTATACAAGATCTCAGGATGGCTTACAGTATTTAAAAAAACAATTAAAACAACAAATTCAATAAATAATAAAACAAAACCAAACAATAAATCACAAAACAAACAGAGCAACTAAACTTAAAAACTACTGAATTTTAAAATACTGTTTAAATAAAAAGGTTTTGGCCTGGTGCCGAAAAGAGCATAAACTTGGTGCCAGGCGTACCTCTCTGAAGAGTACATTCCAGAGTCTGGGCGCCAGAGCAGAGAAGGCCCTACTCCAAGTTGATGACCTTTTTACCTCTCTTAGAGAGGGTTCCCAGAGTAGGGCTTCTCCCAGATCTTAAGGGGCGTGAGGGCATATAAGGAAGGAGATGTTCCTTCAGGTATCCTGGTCCCAAGCCGTTTAGGGCTTTATAGGTCAAACCAGCACCTTGAATTGGGCCCGGACTTCAACTGGAAGGCAGTAGAGCTGGTAGAGGACCAGCATTATGTGAGAGTAACGGCTGGTCCCTGTCAGCAGTCTGGCAGCTCTATTCTGTACCAGTTGCAGTATCCGGACCATTTTCAAGGGCAGCTCCACATAGAGCATGTTGTAGTAATCCAAGCAGGAAGTTACCAGCGCGTTGTTCACTCCTTTCTTTCCCATTGGTCATCCAGACAGTGCCCAAGGGACACCACAGTAGGACCATGTTGTCCCTCCTCCCTGCTATGATTCTGAGCCATTTGACATTTTCCATGGGTATTCTGAATGTTAAACTAATTTCCCTTAAGAGATTATGAAAAAAGGCTAGAAAGCCAGCTTCTGCAAACCCTTACAAAAAAGAAGATTTACATTTAGTCTTACATCATGTAATGAACAATCATTTAGATTAGGGGGAATCTTAATTATGCTAATGATCCTTCTAAAAGAAAACATTTTGTCATCATTTGTTTTTCCGTTTTTTTCAATGTTGGGAGCATATTAAAAATTAAGTGGAGAAAAACATGAAAAAACTGTTGCCCTTCAGTTTTGCCATGCCCCTGTGCCCACACCTTTAGACCTCTATGTAGCAGCAAACTGGAGCCGTTCCCCCCCCCCCACATGTAGGAGAATATGCCCTGACACATATGCTTGGTTATTCTCTCCCAAGGGAGAGAATAACCCACTTTAATTTAGATTAGGAGCTCAATATGCACAAGTAAAAGTATGCATATTCTGTTCACATCCATACATGTGTGATCTCTGAATTGGAACACCTATTTTTAAACTCTTTAATCTACTACAATTTATGTTGCATATATCAAAGTAATGATAAGCACTGATTCAAGATGGCTTTGAGATATATTATATACTTCCATGAAATTCATTTCCAATAACAGCAAATGAATAACAGCAAAAGATAGTTACCTTGCTGAGTATCCTGCTCTTGTGTTCGATTCACAGTGAGGTCTAGAGGGCTATCCTGTTCTTCCTGAAGTGAATTTTCTGTTTGGCTTGTTTGGATATCTTTATGTATCAGACTCGTTTCAAATGATGAACCATTTCTATTTTCTTGCATTTTACTACTTTTTGAAATGTATTCAATTGCAAATTGACGGATCATCTTTTTCATTAATTCCTGAGCAACTAGGGGAATGTTAGGATCACAGTTCTGAGGAAGATCTATGGAAACAAAACATTATAATATGCATGATTAGAATAAAAGCTCGCCTTTATTGCATTAACTTTCCTGTAGCAAGTTGCACTAGGCCAATGGAATATTATAAACTTGCCTGTCTTCATTCTATAAAACTTATTAATCTAAATACAAGTGCTATTTCAAATACTTGCCCTTGAATTTACTGAATAGTTGGTAAAGGCTACAGTCCAAAAGTCTGAATACAGACATACACAAAGGACCTGCACTTGCATTCAGAGATTTCTTAGTTTTCAGAATGATGTGCACATTGCCAGGGAGCCAAACTACACATATATGAAAACTTTTATCTTCTTTGGACCACTCCCCACCAGCAACAGAAGATGGCAGGAAGTGGCCATTTCTGTGACCGCCCACACATTCTGAATTACTCCTGTCAACTGGCTAGGATATACTGTTATTTTGGAAGCACCTTCCCTGCCATTCAAGGGAGCTTTATAAAACTGAAACAGAAAGCATTACTAAAATCAACATGTCCATTAAAACATAATTTAAGCAGAACTTTTACATGCTAAATATCATGTACTTTTCCCAGAAGAAGAAGAGGAATATTGTAAACTCAATGAAACATCCGTTGATTCCAAGTTAAAAGACAATGATGTTAAGAATGGAAACAAAAAGCCTTTCTTTGAAAGCTGTCCCAAGTCCATGTCTATGAGAAATGGGGAAGGTGCAGATAAACTTTCTAGGGCACCCATATGCTGAGGAAAGTGTGAAAAACACAGAGGACACTGAGAATAACAGTGAAAAAATAGTTAAAAACTAGAGCATCACACTGCTTAAGAGAGAAGTCTACTCACCTCTCTCCCTTTGGCAAGCAAAGATTCTAGTAGCTTTTGCTTTTCTCTTGATGGCTGACAATTTCACAATTGTCAAGTGAAAAGAAAAGTGGCAAATTAATCTATTTGCAGTCTTGCTCTGTTAATGCCCATGGAAGTTACATCCTGCACTTTGACAAGAAACACTTACCAGAGCATTAACAAGGCAAGACTTTCCATTCAAGGAAATTGGAGGTGTGCACTTGTGCACCTCTGAAAGACCAACCAATTTTTTATTTAAAAAATTACAAACACACTTGCACACTTTCTTGTCCCTAAAAATAAGGTGGTAAACAAGCAAGTTAACAACTTATGTCAATGGAAGACATTGTGAAAAGTCTCCTTAAGTGGGGAAGAAAAACCAGGAAAGGGGAAGGTGATAAAACCATATGGAGTTATCACAGCTGGCTGTTGTAATCAAGCAACAGAGATGACATGGCAACTCTACACTAGGGTTGGGTTGAACACTAGTGGAATCTGTTCCTCTAGCACTTTTGTGCTCAGCCTGGTCTTGAAAGCAAGCTGAGAGGAAGCTTGTAAATGCTTGCAGAACAAATGTTATACCACCTTTTTCTGCATCAGGTGCAGCAGCACAATCAGCTGCTGTAGGTGATGCAGAAAAGGAATGATGATTGCACAGTGGTAGTGTGGGCTTTCCTTTTGGCTCTGGCCTCTTGGCAGAGCAGCAGAGGCACAAGCTTGGAGAGAGTGCTGAGTGGCTAGGGGACTGGCGAAGGCAAGGGAGGAGCTGGGTAGGGGAGCAGAGGGCCAGGAGCAGCAGAGAGGAAGGGGGGTGGGGCCGGAGGGGCCAGGAAGAAGCAGGGGGCGGGGCCACCGGTCTGAGGGACTGATAACTGCGGCCCGGGCTGTCCGGAGACTCCCTTCCCTGAGACACAGAGGTTTGTTTGATTGTTGGTTTGTTTTGTTTGTTTGTGCTGTGCTTTGCTTTATTTTTCTTCCAATTTAAATTTAAATTTATTTTATCCTTGTGTGTGTGTGCAAGTGGGTTTTTGTCTGGGAGAACTGGGCGAGTGAGAGGAACTGCAGGACAAACAAGGCAGGGGACCAAGGTAAGGTCTCGGAAGGGATACTGATGGCAGACCAGGAGATGGCCTTGGCGGGAGTCATGGGTGTTGCTGTCCACTGCGACAGCTGCAACATGTTCGCCCTTCTCCCCCAGGAGAGGCAGGGATACACTTGCCCTCGGTACAAGATGGTGACCCTGCTAGAAGAGGAGGTGAGGTGCCTGAGGGCTGAGAGAGCTCTCCAGCCCCCCCCCCCGGAGCAGCCCCCCTCTGGACAGAGGGTTGAGGGAGAGACTACAGGAGGAGCAGCTGCAGATACATGGAGGTATGTCACCCACAGGAGAAGGAGGCCAGCACGACCTCCTCCTTCTCCTGGCACCAATCTGGAGCTGGGAAACAGGTTCTCTCCACTTGGGGAGGCTGGGGCTGATGAGGCCTCAGGGGACCAGCAGGACTCCCAGCCTGGGACGTCAGGTGGCAAGGGGGCCGCTGCAGGAGTGGCAAGGGCCAAGGCACGGCCGCCCACCAGCACCGGAAAGGTACGGCGGCAGGTGATTGTTGTTGGGGACTCCCTGCTGAGGGGCACTGAGGCGGCAGTGTACCGCCCCAACCTGGAGACAAGGGAGGTTTGCTGCCTGCTGGGCGCACACATCCGGCATGTGAAGGACAGAGTGGAGCGTCTGGTTCGCTCCGGGGGTCACCAGCCGCTCCTGGTGATCCATGTGGGCACAAACAATGTGGCCAGGCAGGGTGTGGTTGGGACCACCAGGGACTTTGAGGCCTTGGGGAAGAAACTCAGGGAAATGAAGGCCCAAGCGGCCTTCTCGTCAATCTTACCTGTCTGGGGATTTGGGCCAGGAAGGGACAGGAGGGCCTCCGAGGTGAACGACTGGCTTAGGGTGTGGTGCCAGAAGGAATGCTTCAGGTTCCTCGATCACGGCACTTGTTTTCTTGCCAATGGACTTCTGGCAAGGGACGGGTTACACCTCATGAGCATGGGGAAAAGGTCCTTTGGAAATGCTCTAGCGAGCTTCGTCCGGAAGACTTTAAACTGAGCCGGGGGGGGGGGTTCAGGCTCCTTAGTAACGTGTCTGCACTGGACAAGTGTGGGGGGAGGATCAGGGCTCTGGGAGCAGGGTTTTAGAGATACTGCAGGGACTGACAGGACTCCTACAGAGAGGGGGCAGGTATCAGGGAGGATGGGAGGAAGGAGGAGGCTGGGAACTCCAAGGAAAGGAAGTGGTGGGAAGGAGGTGAGGTGCATGTTCACCAATGCTAGGAGCATGGGTAATAAGCAGGAAGAGTTTGAAGCTCTTCTGGGAATAGGAGGGTATGATCTGGTGGGAATCACAGAAACTTGGGATGAAAGGCAAGTCTGGAATGTGAACATAGAAGGGTATCACATTTTTAGAAAGTACAGGAAGGGAAAGATAGGTGGGGGCGTGGCTTTATACGTCAGGGAAGGGATAGGATTCAGTGAGACAGAATGCAGCACAGACGGGGATTTGGTAGAGGCAGTCTGGGTGAAACTTAGGGGTTTTGACAGGGAAAGAGACCTGACAGTGAGGGTATGTTATCGCACTCCAGGTCAACTTGAGATGATGTCCTGACAGGCCAGATTCTAAGGATATCTCAGGGGAGAGACACAGTAATTATGGGAGATTTCAATCTCCCGGATATTACTTGGGAGACTCACTTGGCGGTGACAGCCAGGTCACGTCACTTCCTAGAAGCTATAGAGGGAGGGTTTTTCACACAGAGGGTCCAAGAGGCAACAAGAGGGGGAAACATCCTTGACTTGGTCTTGACCAATAGGGAGGAGCTGATAGATGAAGTACAGATTAGGGGAGCTCCGGATGCGAGCGATCACTCCATCCTTTGCTTTGAGATCAGGGGACTGGGGACGTGCAGCAGGTCGAGCACTAGAAGCTGGGACTTCAAGAGGGCCAACTTTGGCCAACTGAAGGCCAGACTGGGGAAAGTCTCCTGGGATAGGTTACTAGAAGGTAAGCAAGTTGAGGAGGGGTGGATAGCACTCAAAAGGGAGGTTTTGGAGGCGCAAGCCTTGACGATACCTCTAGTCAGTAAGGTGGGGAGGCGGAGGAGAGTGCTGCCATGGATGCAAAAGGAGGCGGTTAGAGGGATTAGACGAAAGAGGAACCTCCATAGGAAATGGGTACTGGGGGAAATAGACAAAAGGGAGGAGAAGGCCCATTGCAGAAGGATTCTTCGCAAGGCTAAGACTGATTACGAGCTGAGACTTGCCAATAATATCAAGAGCAACAAAAAGGGCTTCTTTCAGCATGTAAACAGGAAGAGGAAGGGGAGACAAGTGGTGGGACCGCTAAATAAGGAGGAAGGAGATCCAGTGACTGATATGAGGGAACAGGCACAGATGCTAAATGACTATTTTGCCTCTGTGTTCTCCCCAAAGCAGGATGGGGAATATCTGCATAGGAGATTAGATGAGGTAGGGAACTTAGGGGCACAGATTAGAGTCACCCCCCCTTGAAGTCGAGGGGCTCCTCAGGGCATTGGACATTACAAAGGCACCAGGCCCTGATGGGTTACACCCGAAAGTACTTCAAGAGTTGGCAGGGGTTCTCTCACACCCGCTGGCCTCCATTTTTGAGACCTCGTGGAGAACAGGTGAAGTTCCAGAGGACTGGAGAGTGGCATCAGTGGTCCCAATTTTCAAAAAGGATAGTAGACAGGACATGGGGAATTATAGACCGTTAGCCTTACGTCCATTGTAGGAAAAACAATGGAAAGGCTCATAATAGAGAGAGATCTAGTGATGCTAGATAGGGAAGGGAGGCTGACAGTCACACAACACGGCTTCCGCAAAAACAGGTCCTGCCAGACAAACCTTGTGGACTTCTATGACAAGGTTTCGAGATGGCTAGATGGAGGAGATGCAGTGGATGTGGTATACCTGGATTTCAGCAAGGCCTTTGACAAAGTGCCCCATGATATCCTGGTGGAGAAACTGAGGAGTTTTGGGATACACCAAAGCACTGTTTGGTGGATTAGGGCATGGTTGACTGACCGAAAGCAGAAGGTAACCATTAGCGGGGAATCATCGGGATGGCGGCCAGTGACAAGCGGGGTCCCCCAGGGCTCTGTCCTGGGGCCGAGCCTCTTTAATCTTTTCATTAATGACATGGAAGAAGGAGTGAACAGTCTGCTGGTCAAATTTGCAGACGACACTAAAACTGAGCAGTGGCCACAACTGAGGAGCAGGTACTCCAGATCCAAAAGGATCTGGACAGACTATGGAAGTGGGGAGGAGACAACAAGATGGTGTTCAATGTGGACAAGTGCAAGGTCTTGCACTTGGGGCATAGGAATAGCTGTCATAAGTACAGGTTAGGTGATAAGTGGCTGGAGAGCAGCACTTGTGAAAGGGACCTCGGGGTACTGGTTGACTGCAGGCTAAACATGAGTCAGCAGTGTGGTGCAGTGGTCAAGAGGGCGAACGCCACGCTTGGTTGCATAGCCAGAAGTGTGGCTTCTAGATCACTGCCACTCTACACGACTCTGGTGCACCCGCAACTGGAGTATTGTGTTCAGTTTTGGGCCCCTCATTACAGAAAGGATATAGCCAGGTTGGAGTCAGTGCAGCGTAGGGCCACAAGGTTGGTGGCCGGTTTGCAGGGGATGGGGTATGAGGCGAGACTGAGGGAACTGGGTCTCTTCAGCCTGGAGGAGACTCAGAGGGGATATGTTGCCGACATACAGGTATGTGAGGGGATGTCACATGGAAATGGGTAGAGACCTGTTCTCCCCTGCAAAGGAAGGCAGGATGTGCTCCAACGGAGCAAAGCTCAGGGAGCCAAGGTTCCATTTGGATGCCAGGAAGCACTTCCTGACAGTTAGGACCCCGAGGGTGTGGAATGGGCTTCCACGAGAGGTCGTTGAGGCCCCATCGGTGCGGGTGTTCAAGGATAGGCTGGACGTCCACATGGTGGGCATGTCGTGAGCTGAGCCGGCTGGTGCTTGAGGTCAGACTAGATGGCCCAGGAGGCCCCTTCTGACTCGCTCTGTTTTCTATTCCTGGTGAGCCCTCCAGCTGCCCAAATAGCATTTGTACATGGTGCAGAAAAGAGACATTGATAGCAGTCATGCAGGGCTCCATTTCTGGCAAGATCTGTGTGGCAAACATCACATGAAACAGCCCAAACAGCTGCTGCAGGTGGCACAGGTGGAGGAGGATGCTTGCGCAGTGTGTGGGGCTTGATTCTTGGCAAGCACCCCATGAATACACTCACCAGGAACTTGAACTCAGGGCTGCTGCAAAGTGAACTGGAGTCTGCAGAGCTGAGACCAGGGAATCTGACTGATCCCCTCATCCAAATGGATTCCTATTGCATCCCTATTCTACACCTCACATAAAGAAAATTTCAAAAGTCTATAGCTTCATCATGATTAGGGCAAGACTAGCTGAGAAAAACAGGAAGAATTCAATCCAGACATGGAGAGCACTAAGAGAAAACAGGGGCAATCTCATGTTCCATTCCCAATTTCTAGGCAGTTCATATTTCAGATATTCTTAGCATTCCATTTCCACTGACACCAAAAAATCACCAAAAGAAATTCATAAAATAATTCCACACATAGATAGAAAACTTTGCTTAGAGGCGACTCTACTTACATAATTTGATGAAGTAATTCTTTTTATTCTAAGACTGACTCTCTCTCTCTCTCTCTCACACACACACACACATTTATATGCTGCCCAGAGACAGAGGAATTACTCAATAGTACACCACAGAATAAGTGACACAAATTTTCACTTTGTGATTAACTTGTTCTATGTATGTCTTTTAATGTAATATAATTCAATTGATAAAGGTTAATACAAGTAGAATGGGTACTTCCAAAGGAAAAAATATCTTTGGATGCAGCCTATTAAGTCAACCTTAAATATTTACATTTTTCAATTAATCACTCGCTTGACTCAAAACCGAAGGTGTAAACCAGTTTGCGCGCGGGCACACGCATGTGTGTGTTGACACACTTGGCCGAATCTTACATGGGTCACCATGGAAGTAATCTGAAATCAATGGCAATATGCATAGAATGGAAAGAATTTGTATTTAGATAGGTTGGTTGTTGTATTTTTTTAAACAATATATTCAAATTTTATATCAGTTTTAATGCATATTATTTTGATATTTTAGACTAGTCCTAGACAACATTTGTTTTTGTCCTACTTTTCTGTCCGAAAACATGAAAAGCAATTTACAGTTAAAAGAAAAACAAGAAGAAACTTAAATAATCATTATAAAGTTAAAGTAATTAGGAAAGAGCACCTGTTTTTGTTGTTACTACTTCAGTGTGTTTGGGACAGAAGAATCTACTCAAGGATTCTGCTGTGCCATGGAGACTTAGTCTAGCCTATCTCCTTATTTCCAAAATAGCTGAAACACAAAATTTAAACAGATACTTAGCTTCTTCCCCACTGAAACTGATAGGTCTTAAAAGGACTCAACTTTGATTGCCCTGAGCCCAGTTTCTGTAAAAATCGGAATCTACCCTCTGTTCTTGATGGCATCCTTGGCTGCATGAAGTCCTTTTCTACACCTTCTATGGCCACTACAGCGATGATTATTGCTTTATACCCTAGCAACAACTATGGTGGAACAAGCTTTCATATATTTATACAGGGATTTTAGACCTGAGCTGCATCTTCAATTCTGAAGCCTAGAGATTCTAAACTTTGGCTTTTCCCACTCTTGGCACCTTGGCAAGCTAGTTACATTTCCATATTGTTCCTTCTGTCCAATTCCTACAATATTTGAACAAAAATGGAGATAATAAATGGAGGCTTCGGCAAGGGGCGGCATAGAAATGCTCTAATAATAATAATAATAATAATAATAATAATAATAATAATAATAATAATAATGGCTGTTTCTACCAATACCTACAAAGCTGCTATCTAACACATATAGGAAAGGCTATTCTATGGCTACTAGACATTATCTAAATGGCCAGATAAGCCAGGACAGATTTGAAGCTCTGACCCCAAGAAATGTGTTCTGGTTTGGAAGTGGGAGTCTAGCCCTGGAGTGTCCTCTGCATTTGGAGAGTCCTCCCTCCACCATCACAGCTGCTCCAATTCTTTCTGTACTAGCTGTTTCTCTGAAGTCGCAAGTGCAGCTTCAGAACTAGTGCAGGAATTCTGAGGGGAGGAGAGGAGCAATGAGACTCAATTCCACAATATGAGGAATCCAGGAAGTACTTAGGGTCCTCTTCCCCATGTCCAAAGGCTGAAGAGGTAGAGGGGTGGATCAGGGTGGAAGAAGTGTGGATGCAAATCCTTACCTCCACATTCTTCCCACATTTGATTGGATACTCACAATAGCTCAGTAAATTATGTTGAAGTCAGATTATTCTAATTTATGTTGTATAGCTCTATATATTAGAGAACGACTCAGAAAATTTCTGCTGTGGGGCCATATAGAAATGTAATTAATAGTAACAGTAATATTAAATTATTTTAACACACTGTATGGGGCAGCACTGAAGGCAGGAAATTTCAATTAAAACAGAAAACAGGTTATTTCTGAGTAAAACTGAAGGTGCTGTTTGTTATTACCTCTACAGCTAGATTTACTATTACTAGATTTATATTCTACTTTTTGGGTTAAAAATCCTCACAAGATTACAGTTTACAACAATATACTTTATGTAGAAATAGACCATGAATATACAATAAAATATCATAATATCAGAAAGAAATCTTAAAACAACTAAAATCAAATGATAAAAACAAGCAATAACAAAAGAGTGACCCTGAAAATTACATCCAATTAAGTATGGATATAATGAGAACACATGTTACTGAGGAAAGATCAGCTTTTGCTAGACAAGGCTACAGCTGCTAACAAGTGCTGTTCATCACTGATACCACTTCCAACTCTACTTTAAGCCATGAGTCCAGAAGAACTTCCAAACTGTACCTGGGATCTTTAGGAAGAACACAACCCCATTCAATGTCCATTGCACACGTTCATTCAAATAAACAGATTTCCATTCCCACATCATTTTGTCTGAAGTAAACATCAACTTGTTGGCCCTCATGCATCCCAAATATGTCCCCATGTACATATTTAGGGCTTCCAATGTTTTGCTAGAAGTAGAAAATGGATATTGGGATGTAAAGCTGCATGCCACCTGCATTCTGATGACATTTTAGCACTACTTTCTGCATGCCATCACTAAGAGATTTCATGTCCATGTTATCAAAACAGTAAGATGGAGCTCTGAGGCCATGGGGTGGAACTTAAGTCCCGCAAGCACTTGCTTCTGAACATTTCCCTCCAGATACTATGTTCCCAAGTTCCAATGTGGTGAGATGGTATCAAAAGTTGCTAAGAGGTCCAGAAGAACCAGGGTAAATTTAATTCAAATTGATTTAAATCATATTTAAATCACTAGTTAGTACGACTAGATTTAAATCATGGTTTTTTATGTAAAAGCTCATTCTTGCTGGTGTAATCTTAATATTTACAACCAGATGAAGGTCATATTTTTAGAATAAAAACTTTTTAGATTAGTTTTACAGTTATATCAAAATTACTGATTTGGTTATATTATTAGAAATATATCACAGATAGAAAATTATGAAATTATTGTAAGGGTAAAGTAACTCCAGTTTAATAGGTTAATAATTCATATTTGAACAACTTTTCTGCTATACTTTATTGGAAGGAGAAAAATCATTACCTTGGTAATAACAATTTAATTAATTTTATTAACTAAAACAATAACATTGCTTTGCTTAAACATCCATATCGTGGTTAAACTAAGTATCCTCAAAAAAAAAAAAAAATACTTAGACTAACAGCCTGGTTCACAGATGAAAAACTTAAAATACTGTCCTCTGTAGCTCATTCATCTTCATCTTGTTTGTTCATAATCTGGAAAAGAAAAGCAACCTTTCCTGCTTTATTGGGTCCCAAACGATTTCTCGATTTAGAATGAATGAGTCCAAAGTAAGAGAATATTCTTTCTACATCAGCAAAAGAAGGTACTGCTGTTAAAAGTGAAATCATTACTTCAACAGTCTCTAAATCCATGTGCTTAAGTGACTTCCACCAGTCCACTGCTGTGGCTTTCTTTAGAACATCTTCAGCAAACATATATTGCTTGAATGGTTCCCCCTTAGCTTTAAGTGTATTATATTCGGCATTATAGATAGATGATTGCTGGATATCCATGTCATAGCTAACATTTAAGGTTTGACCCTGGTACCAGATATTGACAATATTAGCAAGAAAATGAGCTGGAGATAGTGATTGTCCCATTTGTTTCTGTGATGCTGTCAGTGTGTGATTCTGGTTTTAAGTGCTCACTCAGTTCCTTCCAAATTTCAACAGCATCAGCAATAAAACAGCTGTTTTTCTGTATTTTGTCTAAATCTTCAGAAATGGGTTTCAGGATGCTCAACCTATGTTCAACATTTCTCTTAAGCCCAGTGTTGAGGATTCTGGCCATGACAGTGCCATATATTTTCTCTTGATTTTGTTCACAAAATGTCATCAGAATAGGCCAGTTCTTGATATGCTGCTCAAAACAGTCAGTTTCACCTAACATCTTGTGGAAGCATTAGCTTGGTTCCACCCATTCTTTTCAGAGCTTCTGCTGCAAAATGAAGGCTTTAACAATTTGGTTTTTACTTCTGGAACACTGAAGTTTTTCACTAGGAGGTTCAGTGCAAGAGTACTGCAACTATATGTTATTAGTATCATATTCCCTTCCTACTCTTCTAAATTTCTTTTCACCTTGAATACGTTTGCAGCATTGTCTGAGACCAAACTGCATACTAGACATTTGAATGTTTGTTCGCATGTTGTTATACCTCTTGCTATCAATTCTTGTAAGTATTCTGCTGTGCATGCGTTTTCTGATGTAACAATTGTTTTTGCAAGGAGGACATTCCCTTTTTCTGTTGTTATACAAGCACATACAACAGGGTTGTTGCGGACAGCACTCCACCCATCAAGATTTATGTAACAACTCTAGAGGGTAAAATTGCTAACCTACTGCTCCATTTCTGTGTTCTAAAACGTTATCCAGCAGTCTCCCTGCAACATCTGCTCTGTTGAGTGGATTGTATCCTGGTCTCAGTGATTGAACCATATTAATGAAGTGTGGGTTTTCAATCAGATGGAAAGAACAGTTGGGCAATTTTTTGCATCAATTAACTCTTTTTCTAATCTGTTGGCTGTTATCACAAACTTATCTATGGTGTTCCTGGATGGTTGGCTTTTTTCTTTCTTTTAGGTGATATACTGTGGATGCATGATGTATATGATGTGACTGAAACATTATCCTGGACAGATAACTCTGAAACTGTAGAACAGGAGGCTGGTGATCTTGATGGTGGATATTTTCCAGAATCTTTATGTTGATGATGGATTCCCCTAAACAAAAAAGTCAATGCTTGCTGTTATTTTCTTATTTATTCAATTTTCACTTATTTTGTATTATTCATATGCACTGCCACTCAGTACTGCCCAAAAAAGGAATATTTGCTTGTTTCAACCCTTTATTTATAACAACTTTATCAAATAACAGTAATATGCAGTAATAACAAATATAATTTTGCTCAAGCATGACAGTTCTTCAAGACAACCTTTAAGAAATATGATAAAATCAAAATGTTTACTAACCTGAAGATCTTGTCTGTTCAAACATGTTCCTTTTGTTGTCTTCATCACAGCACTTCTTATGAGGATGTTTCATTGGAGCCACCAGGCCTTGCATTTCTTTGTTGCAGTGTTTGCATTTTGCATACATGCCTGCCTTACCCGTAGGTAGAGGAACTTCATTAAAATATTCCCAAACAGGGTGTCTTTTACCGCCTGCTGCCAGTATAGGTTTTCTCCTCCGGGGAAAGAACAATATGATAAACCTCAGGCTATACACAAAAAGATCCAAAGACTTGTGGAATATTCTGCTCAAAAGGTTTCACTTTTAGTTTTACTGTTTGCTCATCCCCCTACACTTAGCTTCTTGTGCAGATCTATTCCACTCCCAACAATCTTCCTCTATGGATTGAATTTTTTGAAGCCTAGTGCTTAAGAGGTAAGGGGTTGATTCTGTGTACATAGATTTGCAAAGGAGCAATGGGATTAAGGTCTTTTTCTCAACTCTGTAGATTTTATAACATTTTTGCTGTGAAGAAGAGGCATGTGATCTTTGTAGACACAAATTCACAGTTCTGAGAACAGTAAAAACCTCTGTGATGATATCTTCTAGATAGAATAAATGCCCAATAGTCTTACAAAAAACCTCTGCAAGAGCATGCCATTGTGAATGGATTAATGCAATTTATTTACCCCAAAATTTAAACATTGCATGAATATACAGCCTCATGCAACATAATTAAAATGAATCCTTATTTCATGATGAATAACTTTTGGACTACAATAAATCTTAAACAGAAAACCAACTTTAGATAGATTTTTCTTCAAAAAAAAACCTTTTATTTTAAAGAACCTAATATAAATGTTAAAATACAATCTAAATAAACATCTAATTTAATTATTTTAAATTAAAATTGATTTTTATCAACCCTGATTCACTAATAGAACTATCCTGTTCTCAAGTCCTTCCAGTCAAGGGACTATAGAATTTGATGGAAACCCTATTAGACCAATGGAACTTTAGATACACAACTAGCAAGAAAGATATGTCAGTAGAACTCACTACCAGCAAAGTTCTTCCCCTGCAGAAGATTCGTTAGCAGTTATGTAAGAGCTCCTGGGGAGAAGCATACTTGCACTGTATAAAGCTAGATCACAGCCACACACCCATTAATGTTACAATTTTATACCAGCCCCCAACCTGGCATAAATTTTTCCTTCCCCTTATTTTGTGTACTTTGGCCACAAAACAATCAGCCTCCATAACATTCGAAAGAGATCACACTGTCAAAACACTCACATTGCCCCACCTACAAAAGAAGAAATAGTCACTTCAATCTCCCCTCCTTCCCATGAAGTCTGGTCTTATTGGTAATGTTTCCTCTGCATTCTCACTCCCTCACAAACACCTATTTTGTATTCAGGTTTAGAAACAGTGTTCTAGCTGTTGAATATTACTTTGTTATCCTCATTCTCTTTATCTCTCGTTGCCCGCCACAGACCATTTTCCTACAGGTACTTTTGACATCTTGTCCTCTGAACACCAGAAAGGAGGAAAACTTCATGAACAACAGTGACTATGACGCTCCCAACTCTTTTACTGAGGGATTCCCAAGGTTTTTGTTCGAAGCAAGCTATTGCATCCTGGCAAGTTCCATGGTATGGTGAAAATGTTTCTAATAGGAAGTTGGTACTGTAACTGGCACTCTTTCTACTATTCAGGGATCTACAGAATCCTGCTTAAGTGCCTGGCTGGCAACCCATTGTAAGTGTTTCTCTTTCAAGATACACCCTATTCTGTTGTTCAATAAGTATTTTGACTTTGCTGTATGTGTTATTTGTCACTAGTGATCTCTTTATTGTTTAGATTCCTTTCTCCCATTATATTTGGCTTCAGCAGGCCAAAATGGGACTCTGACAACTATTCGCAAGAAGCCTGATGTGGTCAGGGTTACTGGTCCTTCCTTTCTCTGCTCATATAGATTTCCTGGACTCTAAGAAGACAGGCATTTCAGGATGCACAAGTGGGATGGAAATATTTGCTAGGCCGTGTGACGCAGCCAAGGAGGATGGGCATGGAGGGAGAGGGACACAAAAGATGTTTGACCTTATATAAAACAGAAAATAGCAGGGAGAGTGAGCCAAAAGGGCTATGTGGCTCACACAAAAGCCAGGCTACTCCCACCATCCAAGAACTGGGTTACACTTTCCAACAGGGTGAAGTTATAGGTTCAAAAATGGGAACTCTCAGTATGTAAACATAAACTGCTCTACTGGTGGAACATAAGCTCTTCCACTGGGCTCTTCCTACATTCTGTGCTGCTGACAACTATGACTGGGAGTTGACACTGTGGACAGAAGGAAGGCAAATGCCCCATGATGTCTTTGAGTTCTATCTGCTGTGTGGCTCAGTTAACAGGGACATGTTCTGTGTTGTTTGCAGTTTGTGGCTGCCCTTGTTGCTTTGTCCTGGCCCTCCCTTCTGGCAGCTTAGCAAATGTCTTTCCCTCTCTTAGTGGATCTTCAACCCTCATTTCCATAGGTGTACATGCTTTCTGCAAGCTTCCTGATGTGGGTACAGGCTTTCCTGCCTTGCCTCTGTGTGCTGCATTCCAAAACAGTGCTTGTGAACTGCGTAAGTTATCTCAATCGTCTGCTTGTAAGACAGCTAAGTAATGACAGTAGCAGGACCATTACTATTTTATCATTAAGGTTAATTGGGAATAACATATATGTTGTGATACAGGAGGAGTGCTGAACAGGTTGAGTTCAATAGCTCCCTCTGTATGTGGACAGGGTTCTGATAATGCTGCTTGACATGCCATTTTTCCTCCATTTTTGGATTTTTCTAGTGGCACGTGTTTCCCTTTATATGTGCTGGACATGTATGTAATATAGAGTCATTCTATTGGAACAGCAACAGAGTATACTCCCTATGCCCCACCATCATATGTATAATTAGGGAACTCAAATTTAATAATATAATTCACTTTATATACTGTAAATCTACTTGTTTCCTTAAAGCTATCTGTGTGTGTGTATAAAAACAGCTTATCAATTTAAAAAGAAGCTTCCAAATAATTTAGAAAAATTTAGGAAGGTACACCTGGACAGACTGACAAATAGAAAATGAAATGAGTAACTTATGTCAAAAAATCCAAATTGACTACCCAACACGGATATGCCTGCATGTTCAAACCCAGGAGGAAGAAAGACTGGATTGATTATATCTAGAATGATCACTTCTCAACTTCATAATAACAACTGAAATAAAATAGTATTACCTTTCTTGCGAAAGAGTGCATTTAGGTAATTCTCTGCTTGGCACTCAATTTTATCAGTGTTGGACTGGCCCTGAGATGATAGTTCCTCTGTAGGCGTTGACTGCAAAGAACCAATAACTGCTGTATGATCCTAAAAGGTATAAAGAAAACCCACAAATCTAAATAAGCACTAAGGTGGAGGTGGGGTGGGGTAAAAAGTTGACAATGATTTTAAGTGGTCATCAAGCAAAAATTCCTTATATTATAAAAGTATGCATTCATCAGACATATATTTTTATACTGCCCAATAGTTTGAATTCAAATAAAAAATTGAAAAATATTTTAAAAGATCTTTTTAAGCAGTTTATGGCACTACTTACACTGACTGTTTCTTTATGTAAATTACAAAAGGAACATTTTTCGTCCATAGACCAGTCAGTCACTTCTTCTGGTTCACAGTCTAAGGGGGGGAAATTAAATGCAAATTGTAAACATAAAGTGTTAAAGCAACTTTTAATTCACTACTATAAATGCAAATTCCTGTGTTAAATGCAGCACTGTTTACTTGTATGAGAAAATAAAATTTTAGGTGCACCTGTAAGCATCAGAAAGATCACATATGAAAAGCACAAGTTCTTTTCATACTGATATATCAGGCTGGATCCAGAGTAAGGTAGCTGCAAATCAACATGAAAAATTTATTATGCCTACCTTTGATTTCAAATGGTTCCAAATAAGGCTCTGGATCCCACCCACTAATATGTAGCTTTTTCTTAATATGGGGATATGTGAAAATATATTTACTTTAAGCAACATTCTCTTTTTGTATAATTTTGATTGCATCTAGTAAGACCCACACTGTGTTTATTTATATTATTGATATATTACTTTTCCAAACATGACTTCTTAGACTTGGGGTCAGGGATCCATGCCTTTGCCTCCCTAAGTCAAGCTCACCACCAGTTTTCTGCAACACACCCATGATTTCCTCTCATCACCTCCTCCCACTCTATGTTCCCAATCATTCCTATCCTTGAGTTGCAAATGGTAGAGTAAAATTATGTATGCAATGTTAGGTGGTAGGCACAGCTGACCTCCGATTTGATTTCTTGCTGAGAGCTTAAAACAACAATATGTTCATGAAATCTACTCCCTAACCAATCCCTAGGAATTGTCTTTTAATCTATCATGCCTAGAAACTAGAAAGCAAGCAAGCAGGCAGGCAAGCAAGCAGTCAGCACAGCTATTTTCCAAGAACAGAC